AGGAGTGGAGTGCGGAGTCTGAAGGTCCAGGGGCTGAGCATGCTGCTGTGTGGCGGCAGATTCGTGCGGCGGTCGTGCGTCGCGGAGGGGTCCCGCCTACCACTCACTGGTGTCCTGCCCATAGGGACCTGTCGGAGGCGGCCCTGGCGACCCCTGGATCTGGCCCGCCTTTTTTGTACGTCCTGGGTAATGCCTGGGCTGATTTCTTCGCCAAGGCTGGTGCTGCCAGCCAGATGGTTGGGCAGGGCACGGCTGATCTGTTTCGGATTGCGCTCAAGGAGTGCCAGGAGTTCGCCAAATATCTGGCTTGGGCTGGGGGTCGGGCCATTGATCTGGGGCTTGGGGCGTCGTCGTCGTCGGAGGGAGCTGCTCGTTCTCGTCCGAGGCCTGGCCCCCGCCCGACCCCTGTTGAAATTTTAGAGCCTGGAGAGCCCCTCTCGTGCCACAGCATGTATAGGAGCGATGCCGCCCAGGAATGGAGATGCAGGCGGTGTGGTGTCTCTACCAGGACTGCGGCTGGTCTCCGCGCCCTCAGGTCCTGTTCGGCGCGCTGCACGCCGACCGAGGTGCAGCGCGGGCAGGCCGCCCGTGCTTTCTCGCGCTGCTCCGATTGGAGGCCGACCTCCGATGCGGTCCACGTCGCCTTGGAGGCGGCGGCAAGGGTCCTTGAGACGGGCCCCACCTGGGCGCCGAGCTCTGGGGTGGACTCTGGGGCGCGGCGTTTTGCCGACGTGGCCCTGTTCCGCGACCTCGGCCATCGGATGGCCGAGGCGGGTGTGTACGTCTTCTGTGAGCGGTGTGCTTGCTTCGCTGGGGAATCTGGGAGGGTGCGTGGTCTCAAGGCCCCTTGTCAGGGACCTTCGGAGGTCCCCAAGACTCTCAGCGCTCAGAAGACCCGCCTCGAGAGGTTGAGGAGTGGGCTGCCGCCTAGATAGCGGCTGAGGGTCCTGGGTCCTGGCTGATACCGATCTGGGGCCCTCGAGTTTTGAAATTTTATTCGATGTAGAGTGGGTTCGGGCGATTTGGACTCACCTTCTGCTGGCGTCTCCTCCGCCCCTCCCGTGCCCCTGCCCGCCCCCCCCCCGCCCGTCCGCCCCGTGGCCCCCGTCAGTTTTTTCCGACTAGTCGACCGTGCCCTCGCCCTCTGGCCGACCGTGCCTTCCCGTCCCCCTGCCTCCCTCCCCGCACCCTTCCACCCCGTGGCCCCCGTCTGCTTATTCCGACCGACCGACCGTGCCCCCCCCCTTTCTGGTCGACCGTGCCCTCCCGTTCCATCTGCTCCCTCCCCCGCACCCATCCGCCCCGTGGCCCCCGTCTGCTTATTCCGACCGACCGACCGTGCCTCCCCCCTTTGCCCGACGGTGCCCTCCAGTCCCCTTGCTCCTCCGTCGCGCCCCTCCGCTTCGTGGCCCCCGTCTGCTTATTCCGACCGAGAAACCGTGCACCCCCCATCTGCCCGACCGTGCCTTCCCGTCCCCCTGCCTCCCTCCCCGCACCCCTCCGCCCCGTCGCCCCCGTCTGCTTATTCCGACCGACCGACTGTTCCCCCCTGTCCGACCTTGCCCTCCGGTCCCCCGTGCTCCCCTTCCCCCCGTAGTTTCCCGTCTGCATACTCCGACCGACCGACCATGATCCCCCCACCCCCTCCGCCCCGTGGCCCCCCACCTGCGCCCGAAATTGAATGATCCTTGGCGCGCGTGCCTCTTCTCAGTGTTCTGACCAGAATTTCGAAGCGAATCTAGCGGTGGCGACGAAGGCCCCCAACAGGCAAAACGAGGGAAGTGTAGCTTTATAGGTAACTACCTTGTCTTAATCTGATAGGAGCGTGACAAAATGGGAACATGACATTCAACGATGGGTCCAATGGCAACCCCGCCTTGAGAAGGATCCACCACCAGCGTCAGACTCTTAGTTGCGCCACTGTGCTGGGAGCCTCAGCAGTGTTCAGCATGGCGATCCGACAGCAGCGCTTCGATACTCCAAGGGAACGGGTTGACGGCCCGACACCCCAACGGCCTCCCCAAATTGGCCACAACGACGACGACGACGACGACGACGACGACGACGACGACGACGACGGCGGCGGCGACAATGGCGGCGGCAGCGACGATGGATGACGCGGCTTGGGAGGAGTGATTCACTTGGTCAGGCTGGTGTGGACCAGCTCACGAGCCATGGCGCTTCTCAGTGCTCGAACTACGCCGTGCAGCGAGAGAAAGAGAGAGAGAGAGAGAGAGAGAGAGAGAGAGAGAGAGAGACACGCAGAGCAACGATGATCGCGGCGACGGCGGGGCGCAGCAGCTGTGGGCGGCGGCGCGCACGGGCGTCGTTCGTCGTCGTCGTCGTCGTCGTCGTCGTCGTCGTCGTCGTCGTCGTCGTCGTCGTCGTCTCCGCCCTTGCTCTTTCCTCCCTTCCTTCCTTCCTTCCTTCCTTCCTTCCTTCCTTCCTTCCTTCCTTCCTTCCTTCCTTCCTGCTGGCCGCTTGACGCGCGCCCATGGTCGGGTGGGTGGCGCGCCCGGCCGAGCCTCCCGGCGCGCTTATATGCCCCGCACGTGGGCCTTCTAGCGCCCAGCCCGCGGCGGCCCCGCCTCGCGGCCAGGGGGCGTGGCCGGAGGCGCCCGACGCTGCCGCTGGGCCCCCGCCCGCCAGCCCCCCAGGGAGGGGGCCCCTGCGCCCCCCCCCCCGAGCTGGACGAGTGCCGCTCGGAAGGTCGCCTCCGGCAGCCCCGCTAGGGGCGGGTGGCTGCGCGGTAGGCGCTCTCGCCAGAGCGGGATGGCATTGGGGGCAGCATCGGGCAGGGCAGGCCAACGACGACGGCGGCGACCCCAGACGCCCCGAGCCCGCCGCCGGACGCCCCTGACGGTGCCCGGGGGCGGCCCGGCGGCCCGCTGGCTGGCCGCCCCTGGATGCCCGCCGGCGGCCTCCGTGGCCCCCGGGTCGTCCGATCCGTCCGCGAAGAGACCCCGACGCCGACCAGCCGGCCAGCCGGGGCCGCCGAAGCCGTGGGAGCGGCCCGGGGGGCCCCAGGAACGCCCGCGGGCCCCGCTGATCGCAAACGCGGGGTTGTGATCAGCGGGCTGCGCCTCTGGCCCTCGCCCAGCGCCCCCCGCGCGGGCGATTTCCGGGGCCGCGCCGCAGCCAGGAGGACGGGCGAGGGGGCGGGGACAGGGAGAGGGCAGGGCGGGCCAGGAGCCGGGGGTCCCAGGGAGCTGGTCCTACTTAGCGCCCTTCCCTGCTACCCTGCTCTGGCTATGCTGGGGGTGGCGCGCGGCGGCCTCCGCGGCCGCGTCCAGCTGGCGCGCCTCCGCGGGCGCGAGGGGGCTGCGCGCCCAGCCCGCAGCCGTCGGCCCCGCGCGCGCTAATGCGGCTGGGGGGCGCTGCTCCAGGGGGGCCTGAGTCTCCAGCGAAGCGCCGCATAACGGGCGCGCGGCCGCCGCTTCGGTGGTATCGCGTAGGAGGGCGCCTTGCAGGGTAAGGCGGGCCCGCGCCTGGACCTCGGGCAGCGTGCCCCCCTGCGCACTGGGGTGCGCGGCCGTGGCCCCGCTGCCCGCCGGCCGCCGGAGGGCCTCCTGCTGCGCGGGCTCAGCCAGCCACGCTCGTTCATGGGCGCGCGCGGCGGCCCGCGCCTGGTTCCTGTACCTGTCCGCGGTAGTCGGCCCTGCCTGCGCTCCAGGCGGCTCGGGGGCGCCCCGGAGCAGCTTTAGCTGGCGGATGTGTGCGTCCAGGTGCCGGACGCGTCCTTGGCGAGTGCCAAGACCACCTTTGCCTCGGCGCATCTCGGGTCCGCATGGGTGGGCGCGGCTGAAGAGCCGGATCGCGCGCTCCTCCATGAGCGTCGAGAGCCGCATTGGCCACCCTGAGTGGCGGAGGAGGAGGGCCAGCGGGATGGGCCCGCGCATGCCGAGGGCTTCTCGGGCCCACCGCTCCTGGATGCGGTTGAGCGTCGGCCCGAAGCCCGTCGCGTGGATGCACGGCTCGGCCCCGTACGTGTTCTTGGGCTGAGTGCAGGCTGTGAGGCCAAGGAGGACCTCGTGCAGCGCGAATCCCAAGTGGCCCATCGTCTGTATATGCCGCCGCCCAACCTCGCCCGCCGCCCTGTCCATGGCAGCGAAGTGCGCTCTGCCAGGTTGCCCAGGCGAGCGCTGGAGGCCCATGCTCCAGTACTCGTCCACGAAGGAGACAACGTGGATGGGCCTTGTGTCAGCGAAGGCCCGGGCTAGGACTGCCGTCTTGGTGGGGCCGTAGCGGAGGTGCTCTCGGTGGCGGCGGACAACCTCCTGGCGGGCGTTAGCCACGACCCCGCACTGTGCTCGCGAGCTGGCCTTGGCACGGACGTCGTCCACGAACGCCCTCGGTCCGATCCTCACAGTGGAGAAAGCGCTCACGAGGCCCAGCCGGATGGCATCTGATGGCGCTGCTGCCATGCACCCATCCCAGTTTGTGTACCCGTTGTTGAGGAGCTGCACCCTTTGCCCGATCTCTTGGACGTCGAGGTGGTCCGCGTCCGTCCCGCCGCCGCCACTAGGTATGCCCAGCTGACGCCCCAGCGGCTGCCATAACGCCAGCGCCACCAAATGCCGAAGTCACAACATGCCTCCCGCACTCAAGCCAAGCGCGCGCCACACATCGTACATGCTCTGGGCCGCGCGTGGGCCCGAAGAGGGCCTGCAGGACCTCGCCCATGTCCTCCAGGGGAGGCATGGGGGTGCTGCTTCAAAGATCCTCGCGTAGCCTGCAATGCCCACGCACGCTCCTCCTCGTCCTCCTCCTCCTCTTCCTCCCGCTCCCCCTCCCCCTCCTCCCCCTCCCCCTCCTCCCCCTCCGTCTCCCTCCCTCTCCTCCTCCTCCTGCTCCTCCTCCTCCTCCTCCATCTCCGCCTCCCCCTCCTCCTCCTCCTCCTCCTCCTCCTCCTCCTCCTCCTCCTCCTCCTCCTCCTCCTCCCCCTCCTCCTCCCTCCCCCTCCTCCTCCTGAGCGGCGGCGAGGACGACGCGGCGCAGGCCTCGGCGCGCGACTGCCAGCGGTCCGCCTCCGCCCCTCGGCCCGCGGCCTCCTCCAGTCGCTCGCGGAGGGCGTCGCGCTCGGCAGCGGCTGTCTCCGCCTGCGGCCGCGCCCCATCCCTCCGAGGTCCGAGGATCTGGGAATCGATCTTTGCCGTCGTCGTCTTCTTCGTCTTCTTCGTCTTCTTCGTCTTCTTCGTCTTCTTCGTCGTCGTCGTCGTCGTCGTCGTCGTCGTCGTCGTCGTCGTCGTCGTCGTCGTCGTCTATCGAGGGTCGACGATCGAGGTCCGAGGCTCGACTTCGGGTACCTGGTGGCCTCCAGTGAGGACCCCAGGGGACCTCCACAGCTTTACAGGCCTCACGAGACCTCCCCAAACCTCCAACGTTTCGGAACATCCGATACGGACATGTTTCATCGTCTTCGGCCTCCAAGGACCCTCGCCAAGGCTTGGGACCGTCCACCAAAACGGCTCAAGATGTGAAACCGGCCCTGGGGAAATAGTCGGGACTTCCAAGTACCCTGTACTGAGCAGATCGATGCATGGTATCTCCGCGTCTGGGGACCAGCGCGGGGCTCCAGAGAGAATCTCAGAGACGTCTCAGAGACGCCCAGACCTGGGGCGCCCTCGCAAAAAAGAGCAGGCCGTCCCCTCCATGCCTTGGGTGGTTGTGCATTTCGCTTCGGGCGGTCTCGCGGGATAAAATGCACACTCGCGCCCCGCACACCAACTCATCCTGAACCCCCCCAGGAGCGAGGAGGAAGGAGGGAGGAGGGAGGAGGGAGGAGGGAGGAGGAGGAAGAGGAGGAGGAGGAGGCGGAGGAGGAGGAAGGAGGAGGGGAGGAGGAGGAGGAGGAGGAGGAAGGAGGGAGGAGAGAGGAGGAGGAGGAGAGGAGAGGAGGAGGAGGAAGAGGAGGAGGAGGAAAGGAGGAGGAGGAAGAGGATGAGGGAGAGGAGGAGGAGGAGGAGGAGAGGAGGAAGAGGCAGGAGGAAGAGGAGGAAGGAGGAGGAGGAGGAGAGGAGGAGGAGGAGGGGAGGAGGAGGAGGAGGAGGAGGAGGAGGAGGAGGGAGGAAGAGGAGGAGTGAGGTGATGATTGAGGAGGAGGAAGATGCGGAGGAGGGGAGGAGGAGGAGTGATGATGATGATGATATATGAGAGGAGGAGGAGGGAGGAGGGGAGGAGGCGGAGGAGGAGGAGGAGGGGAGGGAGGAGGAGGGGAGGAGGAGGACAGGGAGGAGGATGGTGAGTGAGGGCAGGAGGAGGAGAGAAAGAGGAGGAGAGGAGGAGGGAGGAGGGAGGAGAGAGGAGGAGGAGGAGGAGGAGGAGGGGGAGAAGGAGAAGGAGGAGGAGGAGGAGGAGGAGGAGGAGAAGGAGGAGGAGGAGGAAGAGGAGGATGAAGGAGGAGAGGAAGAGGGATGAGGATGATGATGAGGAGCCTTGGCATTGAGGGCTTTCTTTGCTCGGTATTGAACTTCTCACCTCGAGCAGCGATGCCGCGCAACCGGAAGGCGCCGAACATCGCGATTCGCCATGGTCATTTTCTCGTTCATCTTTCCAGCCCCCAAGAAGCAGCGGAATTCATCAGGGAGCTGGAGCAGCGAGAGAGTACGAGCTCTGAAGGGTCGATCCTTGGAAAGCAGCTGGGGCGCTGGGCCTGGAGAGGAAGGCCACCACTGAGGAGGTCAGACTGGGCTTAATAGCGCGGAGCCAAGGCGAGCTGGCCAAACGCTGGTGCAGCAGGGCCCGCGATGGCCGCAGGATGGAGGCCCACCCAGATCCGAATGTGTTAGACGAGACTTTGGATGCTCTCGCCAAGCCGCAAAGTCGGACACCATGACCCAGGAAAGTGGCGCCACCGTCACGGGCAGCACGTACGACAGCTGTGACGAGCCCGTCTGGGGCGAGGACCAGGCGACGGGCCGTGCTGTACAGCAGTTGCAGGAGCAACTGCTCGACATCAAGACCCCACTCCTCGATATCCGAGCGGATGTACTCAGCCAGTCCCCGCTGCCGCCCTTGCGCGGCATGGCCGAGGGCATTGCTCAGACCGAGGTTGAGATAAAGAAAACCATGCAGACGTCGTGCAGATGGCAATGCCACCTCTTAAATTCCAGCGTCCTGTAAGTGGAAGCCTGGAGGTGGAGCCCCATGACGTTAACGTTTTCCACATCGGCTCAGACGTAGCAGAGGTGGACGAGCCCCACGTCACTTTCGGCCCTGAAGGTGGAAGTGGAAGCTGCCAGGAGGCACAGCCCGCTGGTTGGGAGACCTTGCTACAGAAGCAGAGTGATGCGAGATTTCTGGAAAACGGCCAGACCAAGCCAAGCGCGCAGGGAGGCAATGTGATAAGCAGCTTCACTGTAGACAATACCGTGCAGAAGGAGCAGCAGAGGGTCAATGGTGAGGAAGGGAAGGAGTCATGTCTGCTCGACGTCACGCCGCTAACGCAAAGTCTGGGGACCGCGATCCCGACCAAGTGGAACCAGCAGTGCATCGAAGCGGATTTTGTCATAGACGACGGTTGTCTGACCGTGGCAGTGCGGTCTAACCTGGAGCACTCGGACACCGAGGCGAGCAAGGAGCCCCAGGGAGTACACGCTGAGCATCAGCCAGAGCTTCAGGTAGAGGGGTCCTTGAAGTGCGCTTATAATCTCAACATGTATGGAGTCAACTTGCTTTTTGCTGTAACTTCTCCGTCGACAGCCAAGTGCAAATGTTACGTGAGTGGAGGGAAGTGCAAAACAATGAAACCAGCACATTTCTGTAGAGGTTGCCAAAATTGGGCCCATTCGAGCTGTGTCTGTGAGTTGGTGAGCGCCGGACTTCAACAATCCCAGCAGTGATGCATCATCATATTGCACATACATGTTCACGTTGTTTGCTGTCTCCCTCCCTCCTCCCCCGTAGCAGTCCCAGTCCTGCTGCAGCTGCCTTTCAGCAGCAATGGATCGAAGGCTTGAGAGGGCATGGAGGGAAGGGTGACGACTTGCATTCAACAGCTTCCATATTTCAGGGCTCATGGCGAGTTGGCCTGGCCTGGCACGCAGTAGAGCCGAGAGGTAACCAGCTCACGGCACGTTCCCCCGCTTTCACTTCCCCTACCATGTGTTATTCCCCCTTGTTCTGCCCGTGCCACCTCAGGTGTGTAGTATCTGTTCTTACCAGTGAGACGATAGTAAGCAGCAGGTAGACAACACCAGATATGTTGTGGTACGAATTCTGTACCAGAAGACAGTCTAGGGGAGGAGGGGGAGCGGAGGCGGGTTTCGAGTATGAGGGTGCGTGTGCGTGCGTGCGTTGGTCCCTCTGTGTGCGTGTATACTGGAGGGGGATTACGGTGATCCACCTCCTCTCTCCGAGCGTGCGGATCCTAGCTGAAGGGATCGCTCGTTCCAGAAGCTCCCACTGCTAAGCTGGCTGGGAAGTGATACGGGAGCCGCTGCTCCTTGAGTAAGGGGGTGCCCAGAGGTGGGGTGTTTCATGGGGGATCATCATATTCGAGGTGGTTCATTGGCTTGAGCACTGCCTCCCTTCCTCTTCTTGCCGCGCCCGCGCAGCGGCAGCGCAGGAGCACAGGAGTTGAGTTGGTCACACTTCTCTCTCCTTCTCACTCCCCCTCTCTCAGGGCATCCTTGAGCGCGTGCAGCTTTGCAGCTCCTTGTCAGGAGCTTTTAAGCCAGCCTGTTCTGATGTTATTGTCGGCAGTGTGTGTGGGACGAGGACGAGGACGAGGACGAGGACGACGAGGAGGAGTTGGAGTTGGAGGAGGAGGAGGAGGAGGAGGAGGAGGAGGAGGGAGGAGGAGGGAGGATGAGGATGAGGATGAGGAGGAGGAGGAGGAGGAGGAGGAGGAGGTTCAGGAGGAGGAGGAGGAGGAAGCAGGAATGAGGAGGAGGAAACGGAGTTCAGGGAGGAAGAGGTTTCAAGGAGGAGGAGGAGGAGGAGGAGGAGGAGGAGGAGGAGGAGGAGGAGGAGGAGGAGGAGGAGGAGGAGGGAGGAGCGCCTGCCCCTCGTCCGGCCCCCGCCTCCTCTCGGCGCGCGCCGCGGGCGCCTCGGGCAGCCGCCCGAGGCCCTGCTCCGGGGGCCCACTCCTCCGGAGGCGCCCCTCTGGCTGGGGCCGGCTCGGTGCTTGTTTTTCTGCCTCGTCTCGCTGCTCTCCCTCTCTCTCTCTCTCTCCCTCCTGTTGGTTTGATCTGCTTCTGCCACAGTCCAGAGCTTTTGCTTAGCGTGCCGCGGCGGCGGCCCCGGCAACACGCATGCCTGGCAGGCGGACAGCGTGTCGCTCCGCTCCGTGGGGCGGGGCAGGCTGGGAACAGCTCGGGAGATTGACGATTGGGAACGGGAGCGTGGATAGCGCGTCGTACCGAAGCGTGGCGGGCCAGAACCGGCGGCGAGACACGCTGAGCCAAAGCTGCTGACCGTGCTTGCGCCACGACCACAACAGTCGACACCGTCAGGGCTGGTGCCGCCAGCGACTTCATGCGAAATCGAAACAGAAGGAGTCGGTCGGCGATCCTACCGCCGAGCCGATCTCGCCCGTTCGTCCCGCGTCCAGCCCAGGAGGAGGAGGAGGAGGAGGAGGAGGAGGAGGAGGAGGAGGAGGAGGAGGAGGAGGAGAGAGGAGGCGGAGGAGGCGGGGAGGAGGAGGAGGAGGAGGAGGAGGAGGAGGAGGAGGAGGAGGAGGAGGAGAAGGAGGGGAAGAGGAGGAGGGGGAGGAGGAGGAGGAGGAGGAGGGGGGGGGAGCTTTGCTGCTGCGCCCGACCGCTGCAGTCGCTCCTGGGGTTCGTCCTGGCCCGTCCTGCGCCCGCGTCCAGCTGCGGCGGCGAGAACCTTCGGAAACTTCTTCAACACAAATTCTAAACCGACGCCGGCGGCGCCAAGAGTGCGCCGCCCCAGCGACGAGCACGACCACGGCCACCACGACGCCAACCATGATCACGACGACGGCCACTACCACGACGACGAGTGCCTTCTCTGTCAGTGCGATTTCCCAAGAGGAGACGGACGAAACCCGATGGGACGAAGCGAGCACCTGATGATCGTCCCAACTGGGGGAAGCCTTGAGACGAAACTGCTCGAACATCGTATTGTCGCAACCGATGACGAGTTCCCTTGGAGCATCATCGGAGCCCCCGGAGCCCCAGACGAGGCCCCGACGACGCGCCGCCGATGGCCGCCGAAAGGCCCGCAACCGTGGCCGCCGAAGAGGCCGCCGAAGAGGCCGCCGAGGGCGGCCGGGTGCCACCAGGGGGCCGCCGGGGGGGCGCCGAGGGCCGCCGAGGGCCGCCGCTGGGCGCGGCAGGGCCAGCCGCTGGCCGCCGCAGGGCCTCCGCTGCTCGGCCGCGGGGAGGGCCGCCGGGCCCGCCTCCAGCCGCGCCGCGCGGGCTGCGGCACGCAGCTGTTCGGCCTCGCCGCGCAGCTGTTCGGCGCGGAATGGCCGCGCGGGGGGGGGGGGTGCGCGGCGGCCACTCTTCTGCGCAGCCTCGTCGTACACGTCGTCGCCGTCGCCGTCGCCTTCGTCGCCGCCGCTGTCGCCGTCGTCGGCGTCGCCGTCGCCTTCGTCGCCGCCGCTGTCGCCGTCGTCGGCGTCGCCGTCGCCTTCGTCGCCGCCGCCGCCGTCGGCGTCGCCGTCGCCTTCGTCATCGACGCCGCCGTCGTCGGCGACAGCCCTGATTGTAGTGGGGGCCTCGTGGACATCGTACAACTGCCTCAGAGCTCCGCACACGGAGGCAGCCCAGACTGGAGTTCCACAGTGAGCCGCCAGAAAGCCCGGGCACAGAAGGTGCAGCTGAACCCGGGGCCCTAAAAGCGGGACGCGGGAAACCGCAACACGCGGGGGAACCACGGTTGCCAAGGGTGTCTGGGCGGGACCCTGTGGCCAAATACCAAGAAACAACTTAGCGCACGGGAGCATCAATGACAGGACCTGATGGACAGGACACCATCGCCGACTACAGGAAGACCCAACGCTATGGCCGCATCCTCCCGCTCCTCTCCTCCCTCCTTCTCCCTCTCCTTTTCTTCCTTGCCCCCCTTGTCTCACCAGAGGCGGAGGTCCGAGGAGGAGGAGGAGGAGGAGGGGAGGAGGAGGAGGAGGAGGAGGAGGAGGAGGAGGAGGAGGAGGAGGAGGAGGAGGAGGAGGAGAGAGGAAGAGGAGGAGGAGGAGAGGAGGAGGAGGAGGAGGAGGAGGAGGAGGAGGGGGCCGGGAGGGAGGAGGGGGAGAGGGAAGACGGGGCGGGGAAGGAGGAGGAGGAGGAGGAGGAGGAGGAGGAGGGAGGGGAGGAGGAGGAGGAGGAGGAGGAGGAGAGGAGGAGGAGGAGGAGGAGGAGGAGGAGAGGAGGAGGAGGAGGAGGAGGAGGAGGAGGAGGAGGAGGAGGAGAGGGGGTAGGAGGAGAGGGACGAGGGGGCGGGACGGGGAGGAGGAGTAGGAGGCAGCAGGCGGCGGGAGAGGAGCGAGTAATCACGATGGGTTTGCCCCTTCCTCCTCCCTCCTCCTTCCTTCTCCTCCTCCCCTTTCTTGCCCTCCTCACCTCACCCTCTGCCTCTTCCTTCGGCTGCCATGTCTTCTGGATGCACTCACCCAGCTGACGCCGATGTGCTTGGCGCTTCCGCGGGGAGCCAGTCGAGACCACGTGTCTTCCCTCCTTTCTCCTGTCCTCCCCTTTGCCTTGTGTCCCTCAGAAGCGCATCCCGTACATGTCCTGGAGGGCATTCAGGCCAAGTTTTCCCAATTGAATCCAGCCGTGGCGACGCGACCCCTCTGGAGCCCCCCAAGGGCAAAACGCATCAGAGCTCCCCCTCTCCTTGTTCCTCCTTTTCCTCGTCGTCGTCGTCGTCGTTCTCCTCCTCCTCCTCCTTCTCCTCCTTCTCCTCCTCCCTCTCCCCCCTTCGCGCGCTTCCGCGCGTGCAGATGGCGGGTAGGATGGACGCAGGCAAGTCAGAGTACACCCTCGATGCGTGGCCGATGCTGCATTACATTCTCTCGTCCGAAACCCCCTCCCCATACGTGCCCACAAACATCCCTTGTCGCTATTGGTTGCGAATCATCCGAATACGAACGCCACACGGGACTGTAATTCAGGCGGGTGCCCTGTCTTGAAACCGGTTCCGCCCGAACTGCCTAGCGAGAATCCCGTTTCGAAAAGACGCCGCCCTTCACTCGTGTAGCCGTTGCACAAAGGTCAACTGCTGCTAACCATGTTTTGACAATGCGGATCGGCGCCGCCCTAGGTCCGTGCGGTGTTGGAGGCTTTTGGGGCGAATGCGCGCGGCGCCGGGGCCAAGTATGCACACGCCTTGAAATTGATTCGCCCCACATCCGCGTGGCTGTGAGAGCACGAATGTGCGCAACGCCCAAGCCAAGACCACACGTGAACACGGCCTCTCCTCCATCCGTGTGCAGCTCTGGGAATGGAGCACACGCGTGCGCGAGGCACCAGGGCGAGAGCCACATGGTCAGTCCTTTATCTGTGCAGCTGCGAGCAGCCTTTCGAATCGCTGGTGAGCGCGGCGTCACGGCGAGAGCAACTTTTAGGAAAGGACTTACCCTTCATCTGTGCAGCTGCTGGAAGTTCCGAGCGTAATTGCAGTACTCGTGCGTGAAACATTCGGGCGCAACGCCCCGCCCGCCCTGCCGCCACGTCTGGAGGGGTGCCCCTTCTTCCCCTTTCTGGCCTCCGCCTCGGCCCCCTCGCCCTCCCCCACATAGCATGGTGGCTGCGCGCTGTAGCATCTCGAAGGCCGAAGTTCCAAACATCCTCGCCCTCCTTCGTTCCTCTCCTGATGCATAGCTCCTCCCTGTCGCACCCCTGGGCCGTTCGAAAAGGCGGGCTGGGCGTTTCGCCTGGGACTTCCTTACACATTATGACCCTGAAGCCTAAAACTAAATAACAATTTCACAGATTGAGGGCGGGCCGCTTCCAAAAAATGGCTTTCGCCTTAGCGCTGCGTGCATTCGGTTTCAACATTTGCAAATCGTTTCACGGATGGAGGGCGGACCGCCTTCAACATGCGGCTCCTGCCTCAGCGCCGCGCACATTCGTGTCAAATGGTTGCAAGAGTTTCGTGGATTGAGGGCGGTTCCTTATCAACATGTGGCTTTTGCATGAGCGCCGCGTGCATTCGTTCAAAATAAGTATACGGGTTTCGTGGACTCGCATGGCTAGCGTACCAGAAATAAAGTTTTGGAGCAGTTCAGGATTGTCAAGGCACAACAATTACGTTGATTAGCGGTGTGGAAATCTCAGGAATTGTATTTTGGCACCACTCAGGACCGTCAAGACGCAACAATCACGTTGATTCGTGACGTTGGAGTCCCGAGAATTGTGTTTTGGCACGCTTCAGGATCTTCAAACGGTCGTCTCCCAACAGCGCACTTTCCCCAATGCATTAGAATCCTTAGAGGGGCCTGTGAAGAGGGAGCTTGGAGGGAGGGTTTATTCTGACGGCATCTTTGATGAGTCTTGGGTTTGCACTGGTCCTCCTCCTCCCCTTCCTCCTTCTTCTCCTCCTCCTCCTCCTCCTCCTCCTCCTCCTCGTTCTCGTCCTGAGGCTTCCTGTTGCCTCCTCCTGAGGCTTCCTGTTGCCTCCTGGGTCCTCCTTGGTCCTGCTGGTACCTCCTGAGGCCTCCTGGGGCCTCCTGGTGTACTCCTGGGACCTGCTGGGGCTTCCTGTGGCCTCTGGTCCTCCTCCTCCTCCTCCTCCACCACCACCACCACCACTTGCTACTACGAACATCACTGGCGGACAACTCCGATATCCACCG